CTGCTACCAGCCTGTGGCTGCCTCAAAGCTCCCTCCGTTGATAGAGCCAGGATACACACATGTGTCAATCAACCTGTGAAATGCACAAGTGTGACAGTCCATCTTAATTGTCAACATGAATGGCTTGAGAAACAAGTGGAAGATTAGTGACCTGCTCTTCTGGGTGGGTCATGGGAGCATGACCCCAGGGACTACATCTGGTCCTTTGCCCTTCCTCTTGGACTCTTCTGCTCTCTGCTTCCTGGAGGCCATGAGGTGATCTGCCTTCCTCCACCACACCCTTCTAGCATGGTATTTCTGCCTTGGAGCCAGCAGGCCATGGACTGAAATCTCTGAAACCATGAGCCGAGATAAACTTTTTCTCCTTGTATACGTCAGGTATTTTGTCACAGCAGTGGAAAGGTGAGTCATACAGCATGCCTGTCAACAATCCTATTCATAATCATCTTTGAAAATCTACACTTTGGCTTAAACTGGTGGCTCAAGCTTTAATCTACCACCACACAGATACTTGTTACCTGTAACTTCCACTCCCACTGGGGTAAACACAACTCCTGCATAACAGGGTCCACTCCTTTAGGGGTTGTCTTTTGCAGAGTTGCCTCCCCTTCCCTTGCCACACCTAAACACTCAGGAGGTTAACTGCTGAGTGTCTGTAGATTGACAGACCAGAACATGTGGCGACCCTCAGAGATAGTGCAATACTAACACCCTTCTTTCTCCACTAATTCTGTGCTTCAATCAATATGAGAAATTGTAAATTGCCTTGAGCTTTAACTTGCAGAGAACATTGTATGTGCTTGTCTAAAGAATTACAGGACCTAGCCTCAGGGAGGTCAGTGTCACTTGCAATGTTCTAGCTGACAAAAGGAAAAAGAAAAACAGCAGTGATTGTTAACCACAATGTGCCAAGTAAGAACTGCCTGGTACAGGGTGGCAAACCTATGGCACATGTATCTGCAGCCAGCTGTTTGTTATCACTGAAAGCTCTAAAAGGTTCACTGTCACTGGCTTAGCAGATTATTAAAGCTCTGGGTGTGTCTGGATGATTGACACACAGGCCACAAACTGAGGAGGGAAGTCCCGCCCTGGATGTGGATGGCACCAACCAATAGGCTTGTGGCCTGGAGGCAGTAAAAAGGGAAAGAAGAAAGTCTCTTCTTTATCTTGTTCAAAGCAGCTCTGGTCTTCACCATCACCCTTGGACATCTGTCCAAGTTCTTTCAGGCTTCCAGCACAAACTCTAGCTTTCCAACACAGGCTCACGCCAGACTCCGCAGTGTGCTCTGGCCCTTTGACCTTTGACTAGACCCTCCAGCTATCCAGAGCGCAGTCCACCATTTTGCATTCTTCCACAGGCGGTCATTGTAGGCCTATCTTGTAAATCCGTTATATAATCACACATATATTTTGTAATAAATCTTTTCCTTTAGTGAACCCTAACTGATACAAAGACACACTCTGGATGACAAAGACCTTGCCCGGCACATGCTCTGACTGCCCGTTGCTCCCTTCACCATCTCTCCTTCCATATAAAAGTCCTTTTGCACACCTGAGATCCCTGAAATAACCTCTTTGGGGAATAATAGCCTTCCATCTTCTCAAGGTGTCAACCCTTGAATAAACCTGATTTCCTTCCCCTCAACATTCCTTTCCTGAGTATTGGCTTTCAAGCAGTGAGTAGACAGACTTGGACCCAGTAACACCACCATCTGCCATCTTTTTACTTGCTGAGTGCCAGAATGCATGTATGGCAGTACCAGAATCTTCTTTTCTTCTTTGCTACTGGGGGTCAAAGCCAGGGACACCCTACCACTGAACTACATTCCCAGCCCTTTTTCTTATTTTGAGACAGGGTCTCTCACTAAGTCACTAAGTTGCTCAGGCTAAGCTCAAACTTGTGGTCTTCCTGCCCCAGATGTATGAATAGTTGAAATTACAGGTGTGAACCACCATACCCAGCTTTAAGAGGTTCTATAATGCGTCCTCTTTTCAGTTCCTAATATGTCATGTGTGTCCTCTTTTTTCTTAATCAGAAGTTTGTTGTTTTTATTACCTTCTTCACTGAGCCAGCTCTTGAATTTGCTGATCTTTATTCCATGTTCCTTTCCATTTAAATTAATTTCTTCTTTAATCTTTCAGCTACTTCTTTTGGATATATTTTTGCTGCTATTTTTCTGACATTTTCAGGCAGATGCTTCTTTAATTTTTGTTTTTGTACCAGGGATTGAGCTCAGGTCCTTGCCCTTGCAAGGCAGGTGGAGGAACCCCTGAGCTAAATCCCCAGCCCCTCACTGTTTTAATTTTTAACCATCCTTCTTTTCCTTTTTTTTTTTTTTTTTTTTTTTTGTACCAGGGATCAAACTCAGGACCTCACGCTCACAAGGCAGACACAGTGCCACTGAGCTAAATCCCCAGCCCAACCATCCTTCTTTTCTAATGTGTGCATTTAATATATAAATTTTCCTCAGTAAATGATTTTGGCTACATCCCACAAGTTTTGGGTTTTTTGGGAAGGGAGTTGGTACCAAGGATCGAACTCAGGACCTTGCCTTTCCTTTGCGAAGCAGGCACAGTGTCACTGAGCTAAATCTCTGGCCCCTTTAAGGGTTTTTTTGTTTGTTTGTTTTTTTTTTTTTTTTTTTTTGGTACCGGGGATTGAACTTGGGTCCTTGCCTTTGCAAGGCAGGCCACCAAACCACTTAGCTAAATCCCCGGACTTTGGTCCCTTTAAGTTTTATTTTTATATTATTTATTTATTTTGGTACCAGGGGTTGAACTCAGGACCTTGTGCTCTCGGGGCAGGCAGCGGCACCACTGAGTTAAATCCCCGGCCCCCCCATAAGTTTTAATATATATTTTTATAATCATTCAATTAAAATATTTCACCAGGCAAGATGTTGTGTGGCCACAGTCCCAGCTATTTAGGAGACTGCTCAAATCTAGGAGTTTAAGGCCAGGCCAGGCCGCGCAGTGAGGCTGGTTTCTGGTCTTGGCTACTATAAATGATCCTGTAGTTCTTGTGGCATGACAGCAGGTCCTTGGAGCCTATTCAACAGTGACATCACTGGGTCACAGGGTCACGCTGGTTCTAATGTTCTGAGAAAAATCCGCACTGTCTCCCCAGTGCCTGTGTGACTTCATGGCCGCCATCAAAGCTCACAAGGTCCCCTTTTTCTCCATAGCCCTCAGCATCTCTGGCTTTGACCCAGGTGATCGAAGCCACCCTACTGGGTATGCCGCGACCGTCTCACTGGGGGTTGATTTGTTGCTTGTCTGTGCTCCCTTGTGTTGAGGTGGAACCAGGGCCTCAAAAGCAACCCCCGACCCCGAGCTGCTCCATTGGCTGGCACTGCAGCCTCAATTTTCATGTCTCTGAGGAGTGCTGATGTCAAGCACCGCTCCATACAGCTGCTGCCTCGTATCGTCTCTGGGAAATTGTCTGCTCGGGTCCTTTGCCTATCTTTAAATCGGGTTGGGTTATTCGTTGTTGTTCCTGCTATTGAGCCATATGAGTCTGAAACACATTTTAGATAGGAACTCCTTATCAGAAACAGCCTTTACAAATGTTTTCTCCCACTTCACAGGTTCCCGTTTTGCTTTGTTGAACATTTCCCTGTTTATGCAGAAACAAAGCTGTCAAAGATCAGCTGACCAAGGCTGGGGATTTAGCTCAGTGGTGCCTGCCTGCAAGCACAAGGTCCTGAGTTCCGTTCTCCGGTTCTGCAAAACAAAGCAAAAAAAAGGTCAGCTGATGATGTGTACGGAGGTCTCTCTCTGAACCCCATCTGTCCTGTTGGTTCCTACGCCTGCATGCAGGCCAGCAGTGTATGTACAAGGCCAGACTGGGCTAATAGTGAGTCCAGGCCCAGTCTGAACTGCAAAGCAAGACCTTGTCTCAAAAAACAAAACCCAAACACCCTAAGTGGATTCTAGACGCTCACATGCACTCATGCGCACACCTGAGCGTGCTCACAGACACACACACACGCTCACCTGCCTCCTATGTCTCACCACATGATGCTCCACACCACCTGGGGACCCTGCCAAGCAGAAGGCTGTCATCGGATGCCACTCCTTGCTCTTTGCCCAGAATGTGAGACAAAATAAACCTATCTTCTTTACTTATAAAAGTAAAAAACAGACCCTGCATTCTACAGTTGTGGGTTCAGGGTTCTGTGGACGTAGGTGTCTATGGGGACAATTTCCTGAATTGGCTTTGGAGAAGACCATAAAAATAAAGCCAAGAAGGGAAAGGACAGGTAGGATGAGGGTTTCCAGGGCCCGGTGGAGGTAGGGCGGAAGGAAACTTGCCTTATTTTCCGGGGCTGCTTGAGCAGTCAGTGGAGCAGCAGGTGGGCCAGGCTCATCTCCTTTTGAGACTCTGTGCCCCCTACAACATTTAATTAATTAAAAATAATCGTATCCATTATTTCTGGCGAGATGATAATAGCAGCAGTAGGAAAATACTACCAGTACCGTGTCAGGACCCAGGATCGCGGTGGTGCCCCAAGGCTGGTCTCCAGCACTCGTCCTACCTGAGTCCCGACTTCTTCCCGCGCCTTTGCCCAGGCTCCGCCCCCGCCCCGCCAAGGCCCACGCGCTGCGTCGGTCCGGCGACGCCCCGCGG